CAGCCTGGGGCTCTTCTGTGACTTGGTATCCTTCTACTGACAGAGAAATGTCATACCCTACGTTACAGAGTAACTTACAGAATAGCTCAAGAAAGCTTTCACCCTTCACACACAAAAGGTCAGGCCGGTAGTCGATTCGGTTCATTTCTCAAGTAAACCCTGTTTAGGCTATGAAGGCTTCAAAAACTCGGTTTTTTATTTTTTTCAATTGGGGAATGTTGAGGCCGGGTTCTGAGCATCTGTCTGCATTTTGAGGGCAAAGAGCAAAGCGTTTGCTTTCACACTCATATTGCCGTACAGAAAAAGAGCAAAGCGTTTGCTTTCACACTCATATTGCCGTACAGAAAACTTTTTATTTTTCCATCGTGTTGTATTTTGGAGAGCTTTTCATTGCTTTCTCACTTATTTCTCCTTCAATTTCTTTTCATTCGTAATCCCTCATACCTCTTCCCAGCACTTTTTACCAGTAGGCTGTTACATGTTACCCCAGAAATACTGAGACATACGTACCCATGAGTCTTCCTGCAGGACCATTGGATAATTCAGGTTGGAAGCGGCTTCAGGAGGTCTCTAGTCTACCCTCCTGCTCAAAGCAGGGCCAGCTCTGAGGTCTGACCCGGTTGCTTTGGGTTTTATCCAGTTGCGTCCTGAAAACCTCCAAGGACGGACACACTGCACAACCTCTCTGAGTGTCCTGCTCCACTCCCTGCCTGTCCTCACGGGGAAAAAGTTATTCTTTATATCCAATATGAATCTCTCTCTCAACTTACGCCCAATGTTTCTCCTCTGTCTCTGCACCACGTGCCACTGTGAAGAGCCTGACTCCATCGTCTTGATGATGATCTTGTAGGTATTGGGGGGGCTGCTGTTAGGTCCTCCCAAAGTCATCTCCTCTTCAGACTGAACAAGCCCGGCTCCCTCAGCCTCTCCTCGCGGGACGATTGCAGCAGCCCCAACCATCTTGGTGGCCTCTGCTGAATGGGCTCCAGTTTGTCCATGTCCTTCCTATATGGGGTGGGGGACCAAAACTGCACCCAGTTTCTCAATGTGCTTTGCAAAGTGTTGAGTAGAGGGGGATAACCCCTTCCCTGCTTCTCCTGGCTGTGCCAGTTTACGCAGCCCGGGACTCTGCTGTCCCTGGTTGCTGCTGGGGCACGCCGCTGGCTCCTGCTCAACTGCAGAAGGTTCCTGTTGGCCCGTTCCTCCAGCCCATCGAGGTCCTTCTGAACGGCACCTCTGCCCTCCAGCATACTGGCTGCTCCCCCCGCAGTTTGATGTCAGCCGCAGTCAGGAGGAGAGCGCGCACTGTCGACTCCTCCAGGTCACTGACAAAGATATTAAGCAGGATCTTAAAATTCAGGTTGTGTTGAGCGTTGCTGAGCGTTTTCTGCCTGCTGCTGCTGCTCCTCTGAGGCGAAAGCTGAGTCTCCTTTGCTACATCTTCAAATGACCCCTTCTAGACTCGCTCTGTTATTTCAGCAAGCTCTGTATTTGCAATTAATAATATTGTAATGACTGGATTTCACGAGCACTTGAGGGGAAGAAAAGTTGTTCTCTTTATTCAAGACATGAAGAAATACTGGCAGGGTCACGTTGCTAATAGCATACTTCCAGAATAGGTGGAGAAAAACACTTTCTTTTAGAAGCGCTCGTAACCTCTGAGTCCCCGTAACATGTTGATAGGTATATCTGAAATAGGCATGTGAGCCCACGCACACCTCTTGACATGCCCTTAGGTATAAAAGTAGTAGAACTATAAGAAAAACCCAGCACTTTCATCGCTTGATTTGGTTGCCGTTTTAAGTGCTGCTGTAGGTTGATTCGGTGTTGGCAGAAACCAACGTTCGGCAGGTTATCAGAAACGTTCCGTTAACGTTCCCTTGGATGGCAGAGAAATTGTTTTCGAAGTGACAAGTACTCGCTTGCTTAAAGCCAATGTTTCCCATGCCTTATTTCTCTGTTTACTAAATCTAGGAGATTTTATTACTCTGTATACTGTTGGAATCAAGTCAGCCTAGGGAGATTGGTTTAAATTCAGCGTGCGTTGCACATCATCAGAAATGAACGTTCTGGAGCGTGTTTTGTGTTGACAGTGATGTATGAATTGTAAAGCAGGTTTTCCTTAAATAAATTGAACGTGGGAATGATAGCTTCAGATACAGTTAGCAAATAACTGAGCATAATCCAGTGTAACAAGCTAGCCTAAATGCATCTTTGTTGTTGCTGCTGTTTTAAAAATTTTCTCTATTGGTTTTTAAGGATTAAGTGCTTATTGGATGGTGCTTGTTGTGGAACGGGTCTCTCAAAGCTTTCTGCATTTACCTCTCTGCAAGAACTTGTAGAAAAACTCTCGCCCTCAAAGAGCTGTATTACACGCAGGTATTTTTCATGGCACTTGCGTGCGTTTGGGATCTGGTCTTTGCTAGATCAGTATCGAGAGGGATTGCTAAGGGAGCCTGCGAGCAGAGGTGGTAGCAACTTAATGAAGGACACGGGGCACTGTGCAAGCACGATAGCCAGATTTATAGCCGTGGAAAGCGGCAGCCGACTCCAGTACGAGCGAGACTGGGCTGCTTGCCAAATCCGAGGACCGGGAGGTGAAGGAGATTGACCTGTTACAGGATCTGTCCTGCAGAGGCTAAGTTATTAGATTGAACTGGCGGCTGACACAGCAAGGAAAGCATGACCAAATGCCATTAAGTAAGGTAAGGAGCTGGTCTGGAATACGTGAGTTTTTCCTTGTAAGTGCTTACGTGCATGCTTTCCCTATGTGGCAAGCGCGGGGAGCTTGCCCCTCAACGCGGATGAGAAGAGAGGTTCTGCGTTTAGCGTGGGCAGTTGCTGCGGAGGACCTACAGAGCGGTAAATCCGCTCGAGGGCTGGCGCGTGGGAGGCACTGGACCAGAACAGGTTTCCGAAAAGCCACTCTCCTGAGATGGCCATAAACTTTTCCTCTGTCAGGGTTCCTGTAAAGACGGTTAAAATGTTAGCGTCTGTCCCAGGGACTTGAGCTTCTGAATGGATTCTCTCTCCATCTAGGAAAACAGCTGCTTGAAATAAGGCTGTGTTCAAAAAATAGTTTTACTTTGTTTGCCTGTTTCTTTTGTATACGAATGTGATAGACTAAGCAAATGAAATCTTGTTTGTGTTGTCAGTGGTCAAACAAAATAAAAAGGCATTTTTTTTATTTCAAACGTAGGAATAGTGAGCATTCCTGTAGTGCTTTTTCCCCGTTACAGCCTTAAAACAAGGCTGGGAAAATTCTTCTGCCCTTCTTGCTCTGAGAGTCTCAGGTTCCAGATGTAACTACATGCAAGAGGAGGAATTAAAAAAGAAACAATGTTTTCAGAGTTAGGGTGGAAGTTAAGGAAAAAAGCCTTGAATGATAACCAGGGATAAATTTGTCTAGGTTGTATTTTATTCAGATTTTGATGCAGCCCAGTAGAGAAAAGAAAGGATAGTCACTCCAAATTCCTTGGCCGTTTTTTTAAACAAACGTCATACTTGATTTCTCAGAGGTACACACACCTCTGGTTGCAACCGCTTGGAGAAGAACCAAAGAGGAGCTCTTTGCATAAGAACCAAACAAAACACTGAAAGGAAGCTCATGCAGACTAAGAAGTGTTACAGTAGGTGTATACATTTGGAGAAGGAGTTAAGGGTGAATTACATTGGTTGTACCGGGATCAGTCCCGACAGATAGTAACGTTGTCACCTTGCTCCCGTGGAAGGCGTTGTAAGCCTCTCTGTGCATCCTTCGCTATTCTTGCTCTTCAAGGTTTTCCTGGAATATAACTTTCAAACTGCAGTTTTTGCCCAGTAACACTTCTCTTTTCTTTGGTGAGTGAAGAGTACCGTACCGTTCATCCCTTCTCTCTGCAACCCATGTTCCAGGCCACAGAAATTTTGTATTATTAACTCCGACTCTTTATTCGTTATTCGTTCAATACTTGTTATTCATACGAAAATGTTTTCTGTTCTGGTTGGCGTAACATTTACATTAGTGAGGCTGAAACTGAGCAGAGTATTTCACCGTAATGCAAAACTTGGAGCCTGAGGAACAGACTCCAGTGCTCGTTCTTCGGCACGTACTGAAACAACTCCTTGCGTAAGGTAACTAGTGCTAGCGGATGCATCTGCTGCTAATGCAGTCTTAAAGTTTGGTACAGTTCTTAATAGCACTTGCTGCTATGCTAGATTAGAATTTCTGCAATAAAAGCATCTTTGGTAGCGAAGGTGTTAGCATTTGCTGAATTGATTTAAAGCGCTCTTGCTTCATGGTCTGAAACAGTCAGTGCACAGGACCAGTGAAAAGGGGTCTAACAAACTTTCAACACCTACAAATGAAGTATTTCAGCTGCCGATTACTGGATTCGGTACTTGGATAGGAAATTCCAGCAGGGAGCAGAGCCGTATTTTATCAAAGCCTACGTGCGTTAAGTAAGTGCTTGATTATGCGTTGGATATGCGTTCTCCATGTGAAAGCTAACGTGGCCTTTCCGGCCCATCGACGTGATGGGGATGGAGGGTGATGGAGAGATGGAGCTGCGGTAGCGTGAGTGCGCACTGACGCTCATCATCACGCTAGCACGGTTTGATCGACTCAGTAATTTCTTTCCTCATTTGTTTTCCTGGCACGTTTTGACGTTTTTAGCTTTTTTCCCCACGCAGAATGAAAGACCGACCCCAAAGTCTTGAAGTATCTTGTAAGACAGGAAGTAGCAGGTGTCCTCCATGCAGCTCGAGTAAATTCTCTGTCTGAAACCCTCTTTGCCTTACAAGAAAAGAACCGAAAAAAAAAAAAAAACCCAAAACCCAGCACTTCAGATTGGTAACACTTCCTTTTTCACAAAACTGCGTGGCAGCATTGATCATCTGTTTACCTGTGATTTTATACTGGATGGGTCTAATCATATGGAGCAGTAAAGTTGCTGATGAGTTGTCATCTGTAAAACCGTAAAATAAAGGGGTCTTATTCATAATTCTGTCTTTCTCCACAGACCTCGACAGCTACTGTTAATATAGTGGTGACTGATGTAAATGACAATGGACCAGTTTTTGATATGTTTCTACCTAAAAACCTGTCTGTACAGGAAGAGGAAGCCAATGCTTTTGTCGGTCAAGTAAGGGTAAGTTATGAACTATGCAGGATTAAACTGTTAATTTTATTACACAGACAATCCAGGCTATTAGGAAAGAGCACAAAATAATGGTACCTTAGACAAACTGACATGAAAGTGTTCTTAAGTTTAAGCCATCTTTTTTCAGACGTGTTCGTGTTACCCATTAAGGAGGCAGTCTTTTGATTTTGTCCTTGGACCGTGAAAGACTGAAGTTTCAGGTTTTCTTCTTTATGCTTAGTACCTGAAAAGAGTTTTTCATTTAAAAATAGCACAGTAAAAAAGCTTTTTGGTACACACAGCACTGTAAGAGCTGATCGTGACAGATTTATGGTGTTGCAACGTTGTCGCCAGATGCGTATACTCTTACTGCTTTCTGCTTAAATATTTTTCCAATATATGAAACAAGTGACTTAAGTTCACGTGTATAAAATGGTCACACATTTCAATCTTAAAATTATTAAGGGGCAAAACGAGTTAATCCATTGACTGAAATAATTGATTTGGTATCAAAAATTAGATTGTGCTTGGGGCGTCGTTAATTCGAGTGATTTGAAGCTACGTACGTTTTCGTTACGTGTTTGGGTCTTTTGGTCTCCCAGCTGCAGGTTTTAGTCACTTAAAGCGTTCACCTGCTTCTGGGCAGAATCAAAATTTTTCCTAAAGTCAGATGAAGGAAAGTCGGAATTGGTATTTTGAAGTAGTAGTTGCATACAGCGTGTTTCATATTTATTTCGGCAGTGGGTTAGCGCAGTAAGTGGGCGTGATGCGAGCTGCTGGAGAAAGATGTATTTGGAAGCAGGGTTTTTCAGGAATTTGGGCAAAAGTATCTGCTGCTTTCCAGTAGCAACCCTGTCACTAGAAAACGGGAGCTCTTAGCCGGGGCTGTATGAGCGGTCCCTTCACGTGGGATAGGATATTTTGAGTAGCACTGGGGAAGGGGGATAGGTATACAGCCATAATAATGGCGTTTCTTTCCGAGTTCATATCATTCAGTTTTTCCACCAGTTATTTTCACAGATCTTTTCTTGTTAATTTTGGATGGACTTACCCTTGGTTCCACTTTTCTTACTTACTCATGAAGTCTGATTTAATTCAAGTTGCGCTTTCGGTTGTGTAGGCTTCTTCCTGTAGTTGCGTTGGCACTTGTCCTCAAGCGGTGCTGTCTATGTCTACACTCTGCTGGCTGTATGAGCTGCTGTCGTTCAAGGTGGATGCTGCTCTGAAGCTGTCTGAGCTCAGGTGTAGTTTTCAAGGAAAATAACTTGCAGGGCTTTTGTCAGCATTGATGAAGACTAGAGGTGCCCTGAAGCTTGTTTTTGTTACGCTGTACTGAAACGTCAGTTACTTCAGAGGGTTTTTTGGACTCCTGTGCATGCAGAAATTAGGATCCCTGCAATTAAATCCACTATCATAGGTTTATAAATTATTGTCAGTCTGTTCATTTTATGTGGTCGTTCTTCATCGCACATCTTAAAATGTATGGACGTGATATTTCACATCAGTACTAAGTATCTTAAAAATGCGTTTTGTGCTCTGCTGGGTGCCCTCAAGGAACAATAATCTTCTCAAACACTAGATTGGGTCTATTTTTAGCTTAGATAAAACCATAAAGTGAAATATGTCATTGCAACAGAACCG